CCCCGCCTTCTCCAAATAGCACTTCACCCTCCAGGCCTCTCCACGTGGCTTGGGCTTCTCACTTGGCGGTCTCAGGGTTGTGGCACTTCTTATGTGGTGACTGATTTCCAAGAGGCAATAAGTGGAAGTTTCCATGAAATTAAGAGCTATGCTTGGGATGGGTACAGCTTCACTTTTTCTGAATTCTGTTGGTCGAAGAAGTCACAAGGCCTGCCCAGATTCAGGAGGGTGGAGGAATGGACCCTCCTTCTTGAGGGAGGTGGGCAGGGTCACACTGCACAAGAGCCAGTGGGTAGGAGCTGCCTTTGGGAATACATTCTGCACGCGGAGTGGAGTGGCTAGAGAGCCAGACAGCCTGGGTTCAGGTCCTGCCCTGCCACTTACCAGTCACGGAACCTCAGACAAGCTACTTAGTCTGCCTGTGCCTCTATCTGTGCCTCAGTTTTATCATCTATAAAGTGGGGATTAATGCGTCTACCTCACAGTGTTGTTAGGAAGACTAGACAAGTTAACATTTGCAAATCACTTGTAATAGTTCCTGCATATAGCAAGTGCTATGTAACTGTTAAAATAAAATGTGTCACCAGTTCAAGGAAGATTTTCAATACGGAATATATATCATCATCAAATCCATTTTCCTGCTGTGTTTAAATTTCACAGGATGGAGAGTGAGTTATGCTCACTGTGGAAGGCCTAGTCATCCAAATTGCACGCACTCACTAATTATAGCATGTGCGTAATTTTGATGACATAACAAATAAAAATCGAAACAAATCTTATTACATGATGTGGACTATGTTAGTCGTTTTACAAATTGTACAAATGTATCAGTTGGTCCTAAGACTAGAAGTACAGAGAGTCATAATCACTGAAGTTCCCGATGACTCTTCTGGGCTTTGGGTGTAAATCGCACTGTCGCAAACATGGGTGTATTTTACTTTTCTTGATGTGGAGACATAGCACCGCTGGTGGCGTGAGCCCCACACAGCTGGGACCTTCCTGGGGCTGCAGGCAGGCCTGTTTCTAGGCGTGTTTAAGGTGGGGCAGGTAATGTGCAGGGAGCTGTTTATCCACAACTTAGGGAGCGATGCGGTTTCCTCTTCTCCCCCGAGAGGCCGAAGTCACAGGCTGTCCTACTCTTTGGCATCTCGCTGGAACCCTGTTGGCACGCGGGGAGCAGCACCACCGACTTGGTCCGTAGTAGTTGCGCGACTTTCTACAGGGATACGCCTGCTAAACTCGAGGGCTTCCGACCGTCTTTCCTTCTCTTCCAGAAAGGATCTGTGGAGACATTCGTGTCACTCTAGCCCTTGAGCAGTCCCTAGGGGATCCAGAAGAAGTCTTCTGTGGGCGACCTGGGCAAAGAAAACAGGACAAGGGTGTTCAGTTACGTTCTGTAGTGAACTCTGAGGGAGGAACCGTGAAACGCGGGGTGGTCTGATTAACTTCTCGATCCGTCATCAAAGGCTGCAAATCAGAGACTCCCTGACCTCTCTAAAACGACAGCTCGCCTGACCCTGACTGAGCATTCTGCACCCCCCTCTTCTACTTTCTTTTTCTCCATCTATTTCGCTTATCACCTGTCCCCTCTCAACACGATGTAAAGCCCTAGAGGACAGGGATCATTGTCAGCTTTATTCTAGGCACCTGGCACACAGTAGGAGCTCAAGACCCTTTTGTGAATGGAGGCCTCTCACGGCAGCTGGAGCCCCACCCTCTGCTTTGCCTTTCAGCTGTGTTTGATGAGTGGGGAGATCATCCAGATGAGCCCCAAGATGAGCCTGATCTTCGAGCCGGCCGACCTGGAGCAGGCCTCTCCAGCCACCGTGAGCAGGTCGGTCCCCTCCCACGCACCCTGCGGGCAGGCAGGGCCTCGCCGACCTGAGCAAGGGCAGAGCTCTGAACACCCACAGGCGTGGTCAAGCCCTGGCAGATCACATACACCATATGTTGTCACTTAGATTTGTCAGAAATTCAGTCCTCAATGTGCACTGGCAGCAACAGCCTCAGATCAAGCAGGCACTTTGGAAAAGAGTTTGACACTATCTCCCAAGGTTCAACCTCCACACGCCTCCTGGCCCAGCAAGTCTGCTCCTAAGTGTGTACCCCAAAGGAGGCTTTGCCCATGTATAATACAAACCTTTGCCCAAGTACAAGAATTTTCACAGTGGCACAGTCCACAGTAACAAGCACTTGGAAACAACCCAAATGCCCATTAACAGGAGTGAATTAATGTATTATAAAGTCACAATTGTAATATTTATATAGCACTCAAAATAAGTGAATTGTGCTGACATGCAACTCTATGGATAAATCTAGGTTAAATATATTAAGGATAAAATCTTAGCAACATTATGTATAAAAGTAAACCCACAATATTACATACATCGTAGTGCCCATTTCTAAATTGTTAAAAACTAAAATAAATATATATACACTTTAGGAACATACAGAGTTGCTATAAAGCCATGTAAGAAGGAAAGAAACGCAGGATTTAACAGGCTGTGTTACCTCAGGTGGAAAGCCAGGGGGACAGGATAAAGGAGACCATGTGGTTAGAAGGCTATTGTCAAGATCCTAGCTTCTGTCTGGGTGTTGGGTTCATGGGCACTTACTCCATTATTGAAAACAATTAACTAAGAAAGGCCATGCCTGCTCTGGCTGGGTGGCTCAGTTGGTTGGAGCGTTTTCATGCACCAAAAGGTGGTGGGTTTGATCCATGGTCAGGGTGCATACAGGAGGCAGCCAATCGATATTTCTCTCTCACATGGATGTTTCTCTCTCTCTAAAAATCAAGAAAAAACATATCCTTGGGAGAAAATTTAAAAAAAAAAAAGAAAGAAAGGCCATGCCTGTTAATGATGCATGTGCTAGGGATAATAATCCAATCCTGTGGACCTAAAGTCCATAAAAACATAATAAAATAAAATAATCAGCCCACATTCCCAAAGACAACGTAAGGGGGGAGAAAGAACACATGGCAAATTAGACCAACTTGGGCTCCCAGCCTGGTCATGCCACTTGCTAGCTGCGTGACCTCTTCCAAGTCACTTAGCCTCTGCGCCATGGTCCCCTCATGTCTAAAATGCAGACCATAAGGAGAGATATTTAGAGATGAAGGCCATTAGGCCCTAACATAGTGCCTGATGTGCAATAGGGGATCAATTAATGGTAGCCAGCTTTAGTAAAAAGCAAGAGAGCCCCTGGATGTAACAGACAGAAAGAACACATGCTGCATAAATGTTGCATGTCGGTACGTGGTAATGTGCTAACACTATGGCAGTGATAACAGTTGCCATCGATTAAGAGTTTTCTGTGTACTGAGCATGGTGCTAACCTCTTTACTGGCATTTTATTTAATCATTACAACAGCATTATGAACTACATATTTTTTCATATTCCTCAATTTATAAATAAGGGCATAGAAGTTCAGAAAGAGTAAAAGAAACCTTGCCCAAGGTCACTCAATTAGGATCTGGAGCTGGGATTCAAACCAGGTCTCTATGGCTCCCATGACCCACGCGTCACTAGTCTCCACCCTTCCTGACGAAAAATCTGTGCACCTTCCCTGTGGCCAGGAGCTGGTGAGGGTCTGTGACCTGACCCAGCTCAGCCCCTCACCTCACCGTGACTGCAGCATTTACCTCACCCCTGTGGGCTTAGGAGACCAGGCGGGTCTCTCTCTGTGCTTGCCAGGTGTGGGATGATCTACATGGAGTCCCATCAGCTTGGCTGGAAGCCCCTGAAGGACTCCTACATGGACACCCTGCCTTCCACTCTCACTGAGGAGCACAAGGAATTGGTGAGAGCCCCGGGTCGCTTTCCTTTCCCTCCCTCCCCGGCTCCCTACTCTCCATCTCAAAGGCCTTTTAAGAGAGTCTTCACCTCAATATTTGAGGAGGCAAGAAGGGGCAGAGATTTCCCTACCTGTTCCCACTTTTCTTGTTTCCTGGCTGTCATTTCTCCCGCTTTCTTCCCCATGAGCTGGGGAATGGGGCAGTGAGGTCACTCTCTCCTTTCCATCACCCCTCACCGCCCCCCGCCCCCAGCGGAGCATACTGGTGCTTGAGATACATCTATATGATGGCAGGGGTGTCACCCCTTCCCCATTGCTCCACCAGCAGACGAGTCTCTAGGAATTGCTCTAGAGCTGGATGGAGTTAGGAAGACCTGTGTTCCCTTCTGTACCTGCCACTCCCCATCCCAGGAACCTAGACTCCATACCTCCCACCCCTAGGGAGCTGGGATCAGTTAGAAATGCTTTTTTTTACAAAAAATATGTTTTTATTGATTTCAGAGAGAGGAAGGGAGAGGGAGAGAGAGAGAGAAACATCAATGGTGAGAGAGAGTCATTGATCAGCTGCCTCCTGCACACCCCTGACTGGGGATCGAGCCTGCAACTTGGGCAAGTGCCCTGACTGGGAATCCAACTCCTGGTTCACGGGTTGATGCTCAGCCACTGAGCCACGCTGGCCGGGCTAGAAATGCTTTTATTGCAGCAGGGCTTGCATTCCCGTCTTCCCTTCCTGAGGGGGCGTGAAGGCTCAGCTGAGGTGGGTGCTGAGTGCATTCTCAGTCCAGGGATCAGGAAGGGGGAGCCCGGACTGGTGCAGCCTCTCATCTTTCCCTGCTTTGATAGATTTCCCTACAGAAGTTTCCCACTGATGAAGCCAAGAGGGTTTTATTCCCACGGTGGGTCTGCTCTAGGGAACTCTGTAGGATGGCCCCATTTCCGTCACGTTTACATACATGTGCAATATATATATATATATGAGCACGTGCACTTACACAGACGCGTGTCCGTGTGCACATTCAGAGACCGTTCTACACACAGGCGCAGGACGCTTCGGGGGCTGTGCAGCGGCCTTAGCACTGAGTCAGCTCCTTAGCGCCTGTGACACTCACCTGGCCTGCTTTCCTCTCCAGCCTCGTCACCCACCCTCCTTCTCAGCCTCGGTTCATTACCCCCCAGCCTCGTGTCTCGTTTCTATTCCTAGAAAATGCCAGGTTTCACCACGGAGGCAGGGGCCTTGTCTGTCTTGTCCATCTTTTATCCTCGGGGCCCACTGCACTGCAGTTACTCAGTCAATATTTGTTGACCGAGTGAATGTACCCCCATCTGTGTGTGTGTGCTCATATATTCATATGTTCGTATAATGCACCTATACATTCAGGCCTACCCCCATACAGGCATGTGCTCCTGTGAATGCATTTATTTAATGATGATGTACTTCCAAAAAAAGATTCAAGATAATGTATGGTGGTACTCACAAGTAAATTATAAGAAAAATGGGGAAAAAAACTAAAATAGGGGGAGGAAGTAAGTCAAGTAATTTTTTAAAGAGTAAATGGGTTGGGGAGCAGAGACAAGAGACTAGAATTATTAAACCCACAAGTAGGCTCGTGCATCCAGACAGGGAGCCACTGACAGCGAGCCTTGAACTTAGCCCTGCACGTCCTGAGGCCACTTTACACAGGAGTCCTGCCTTTCAAATGCCAGTCATTTGCAAATTGATTGTTTAGAATTCCTCGCATTTTATAGAAACAAAGTCAGATATTATGTTTGGGTCCTAAAACTACTTCATGTGTCCTGCGGCTGAGCCACTGTAGCCTCACGCTGAGTATCCAGCTCTGGGCAGTAGAATGGGAGGAGAGGGGATGGCCTGTAGACTGCACAGTTCATTAAGCGGGAAGCTGGGGGCAGGGGCCTTGGTACCTGTTGTTTTTCCCGAATAAAGATGCCCTCAAAGTAATCAGCAACCTTACCAGCATCTCCAGCCTCCCCAAGGTATTCCAAGCTCTTGGTCTTCATTTTTTAAAAATTTATCTTTATTATTGAAAGAATTACAGCTGTCCCCTTTTCCCCCATTGACTCCTTCTACCCTTTCTGTCATGCAGTTGTCGTTTTAGGCACATGGTTTTTATTATAAGTAAATTTGCTTATTATAAAAGTTCAATATAAGCAGCATAGAAATATATGTCAAAACACACCATTATTTACAGAAAAATTTAAAAATAAATGATAAGACACAAAGGATGAGTAACCCACTGTTATGGAATTTAATTTGGGACTTGTGGAGAAAAGAAGAATGTGTTTACTTGTTTCAGGTACTTACTGTGACAGATTTCATCATGTGGCAGCAGTGTTTTAAGTCATTCATTCCATGCTGTGATAACTAGAAATGCATATTGCTCCATGACAAGTTTAAAAAATGAATCACCATTATTTTGAGTAACAATTGTTATCAAATTGTGTGTGAAGTTAAATCTCAAAGTGAGGATTTACTATTTTAAAAGAAGCTTATAGGGATGGATAATGTCAAGTGTAAGAGGGTTTATTTAGTGGCATATTTTTGTTTTTGTTTATAGACATAATAAATTCTAGGAAGTTTTAGAAAAATGGGAAGTAGAAATATGCATAAAGGAACAAGAAAGAACACCAGGAATATATATCTGTTAGCATTGTACAGGCTCTTGCGAATTTTCCAATGAGTTGTCTTATATAATTAAGATATTCTTTTATATGCTTATCTGTATCCTACTACTTGATTTTGAAGTTATAAAAATGGAATTTATTCACATTTTTGAAAATTGTTTTTAAACATTTCTTTTAGTGATATCAGATTCCACTGAGTATATGTATCCTTTCAATTTAGCAAATCAAGAATTTGGGGGGGGGGCATCAGAGTTATTTACAATGTTTATACTTTTAACAGTTAACTATTATTGTCCTGTCCAGTATACCTCACCCCTTCTTCTGGGAAATGATCCTACCCATTCTCCAGCCACCTTATTACCGAAGGTATTAGCACCTGATTTCAAGCTTGCTTAATCATTTCCTTCCTTGGAGGTTTTGAATTTATAATCCAAGAGAATATTGTCCCTTTTATGGCTAAAGTGTAAGTTAAAAGCCTTGGGAGCTGTGGCAGCTGCAAATAGTACCACATGGCAAGAGCTGATTTGTAGTGAAAGACAATGAAACAGATATTCAGAGAAAAANCAGGCCTTCACCACACCATTGTCTGTTTCCATGGGTTATGCATTTATACATATAAATTCTTTTTGATAACATCTTTAAATGTCACTTTCTACTTTCAGGTCAATGACATGTTCATGTGGCTTGTCCAGCCCTGCCTGGAATTTATTCGCCTTCAGTGTAAATTTGTGGTCCAAACATCTCCCACCCACCTGGCCTTCTCAATGATGAGACTGTATTCCTCGCTGCTAGGTAAGTGCTTCCAGATGGGGGTGGGGGGTGCCCTGTTTTTCCCCCATGAGTTACAGCGAGATCGGCAGTTTGACCTAGAACAAGCAGTCCTTTGGACTGTAGATAGCAGAGCTTGGTGGAAAGAGTCCATGTATTTTGGTTTTAGCCTTGATCTTGGATTGGTTTTCTGAAATTCGTGTGCACATTACCCTACCTTTTCTCAGTCTTAGGTTCCTCATCTGCACAATGGGAGTTAAAATTCCTGTCCCTTTTTACCTAACAAGGATATCGTGGAAGGAAATGTATCTCAGAAAAAAGATTCTGAAAAAATTAGATAGGAAGTTAAGAAAATATACAATTACAGAAATCTGAAGTACACGGGTAGACTATAAAAGAACTGATCACATTAGTCTACAAACTGGGGAACTTCTCCGGACATGGGAAGTGTGTAAGTCACGGAACCATTGGTTTAGATGTGCCTGAGAAGTCCCCTGTAACTGTTTCACATAAATCAGATTTCATTGAATTCTACTGGAAATGACAAAACATATGTCCACTTGGAAAACTTTTATTAGATGCCATTTCTTTCTCAAAATCACCCGTAGCTCAAACTTGCAATGCATCTTCTTTCTTCTGCTACATTAACATATTTTCTCAGCCCATTTCTTCCAAAGGCATTATAGGTGTAGAGCAAAAATGTAACATGGTGAACAATCGAATATAGACTTTCTTTGGCTAAATATTAATTTGGTTTTCTAAAATTAAAATTTCACAATTTCTCAGAAGTGCACAGATTGCATACAATGCCATATATTTGCATTAATATTTATAAATTTGGGGTATTTTCCCTAGCTGTTTCTTGTTCTTGTGTAGAATCTCCTCCGGGAAAGAAGGCGCCATCATGAGAAATGGACTCACTGTCCCTGCCACTGAGGGACCTAATCTCTTGCCTTCCAAAATCTATAGCTATGAATCCTCCAGAAGTACTCAGATACATGCAACTACTACAAACTGGGGGCTGGGTTTGAACACACACCAATCTGATTTCAGAACTCTAACTTTTTACTCTGTGGATGTGAAAATGTAAGAACATGATCACTGTGGTTCGACAAGGTCTTGGAATAAAGAGCAGTAAATACATTTTTTAGCCTTTTATTTTGAAATAATTTTATACTTAGAGAAAATTGCTAAATGAGTATTGAGTCACATATCCCTTCATCTAGCTTTTTTAAATGTTAACATCTTATATAACCAAGGTACAACTATCAAAATAAGGAAATTAACCTTGATACTATCTGTTCACTATGCTATACACTTTATTTGAATTTGACCAGTTTTTCCACAAGTGTCCTTTTTCTGTTCCAGAATCCAATTCAAGATGCCACATTATATTTAACTCTTGACCTCCTTGGTCTCCTCCAACCTATGACAGTTCCTCTGTCTTTCCTTGTCTTTCATAACCTTGTCACGTGATAAATACTGTCCAGTTACTTTATAGAATGTCTCTCAATTTGTTTGCCCGTGTTTTCTCATAATTAGGTGAGGTCATGCCTTTTTAGTTCCAATACCCCTGAAGCGACAATGTGTCTTCCTCGCACCGTCAGGGGCACACAATGTTGATATACCTTGTTGTTGGTGAAGGCTCTGGTCACAGTTAACTTTGATCAGAGCCACGTTTCTCCACTGTAAAGTTACTATTTTTTTTCTTTGTATTTAATAAGTGTCTTGGGGAAGATCATTTGAAACTATGCAAATATCCTCTTGCCTACATATCTAGAGTCATCAAATTCATAGAGACAGAAAGTTGAATGGTGGTTGCCAGAAGGAGGGAAGGAGGGAAATGGGGAGTTAGTGTTTAATGGGGACGTAGTTCTGGTTTTGCAAGATGAAAAGGTTCTGGAAATAGATGGTGGGCTTGGTCGCATAACAGTGTGAATGTGCCTGCTACACTGCCCTGCACACTCAGAAATGGTTAGTGGTAAATTTTATGTTATGAGTCTCTTACCACAATAAAAAAAAATTTAAAAGAACTGGGAGAAAATGTATGTCGCTCAACAAAGGGTCTGGCACGGGATGGACAGACACCCAGCCAATATCAACCCTCCACCAGGCCCCTTGCAGACAGAGCACCAGTTCACGTTGTTTGTATCTGCCACGCTCCACAGCTTTTCCTCAGGTTCCCTTTTCTTGCTTGCAGATGAAATCAGGGAAATAAAAGAGGATGAAGGTGAATCTGAAGGCCTGACGAGCCAGCAGATCTTCCTCTGGCTGCAAGGCCTGTTCCTCTTTGCCCTGGTGTGGACCGTGGCCGGCGCCATCAACACGGACAGCAGGAAGAAGTTCGACGTGTTTTTCCGCAACCTGATCATGGGCATGGACGACAATAACCCGAGGCCCAAAAGCGTCAAACTCACCAAAAACAACATCTTTCCAGAAAAAGGTAACTTTGTACCTTTAAAAACATTTTTTTGTCTTATTATAATTGTTTGAATCCTACGTTCCAAACCCCACAAAAACGTGTGGCCCAGGTAAGGCCTTTCAGAAGCTGGGGAAGGCCTGTGGCTTGCCGGGCGGGTCCACGTCCTCGGGCCGGCCCATGTGTGCAGAGATGGGGCTCTTACTGGGTATTTTAAATACTTCTTTAATTTAGAAAAAGTTGATGTAACATTTTTTTTTTCTTTGTAAAATTACCTGTAATGCCTTCAGTCAAATAGGCCCCAGGAAACAGAATGAAAGCTGTAGCCACTTTTGTTTGTCTTAACCCCTTCTAGTCCTGTTCTGTGCGTTTACATGGGTCGTATTGTGATTATGGTGTTAACATTCCTTTTAATTTTGTCATTGAAATCTAAGATGACATTGAAACATTTACCACTTTGCTATATACATCATCTTCAAAATGATCACTTTAGTGCTCTATTAATATTGTCTTGTATGCGTGACATCATCTACTGAGAGATGGAAAGATATTTTTTTCAGTAGCTTTTACTATTTTTTTCTTACCCACCCACCTAATACATTACATAAAATTTAGGAAATAGAGAGAAAGGAATAGAAGAAAACAGATGGATGGTAATCCCTCTATCTGGAAATAATACTCTTATTTTTTTCTTCACGTTTTTCCTATATTTCTATAACAAAAAGAGGATCATACTATAAATACTTCCAAATAGTTTGTAAAAGAGTATATGCAGGGCCAAGAGGGAGCTTCCTGAGGGGATGGTAATGTATGTATTAGGAGAGATTTGGGTTACACAGCTATGTGCATTTGTCAAAACTCAGCAAATGTACGCTCTTTCCCCAGGAGCCCTCTTCACTGCTACGTGGTCATCTGTCAGAGGCCATGCACGGAGGGCCTGGACCAATCCATTAGTTAGATAGTAAAATGTTCATTTTCCCCCCCTTTTTTGGGAGGAAGGGGAATTTTCTTTTTCTTTCTATCTTTTACCATGGTAAAAATAAATATTATAAAAATTTACTGTGTTAACCATTTTTAAATGTACAGTCCCGTGGTATTAAATACATTGACATTGTGCGACCATCGCCACCTTCCATCCCCAGAACATTTTTCATCTTTCCAGACTGAAACTCCATACTCCTTAAACAATAACTCCCCATTTCCCTCCTTTCCCAGCCCCTGGCAACAACCACTTAACTTTCTGTCTCTGTAAGTCTGACTACTCTAGGAACCTCAAATATATAGAATCACATAGTATTTGTCTTTTTTGACTAATTTGTTTCACTTAGCATAATGTCTTCCAAATTTATCGGTGCTGTAGCATGTGTCAGAATTTCCTTCCTTTTTATGGCTAAATAATATTCCATTGTTTATTGTATAGACAACATTTTGTTTGCCCATTTATCCATTGATGGATGCTTGGGTTGCTTTTATCTTTTGGTTATCGTGGTGAACATGGGTGTGAAAATATCTGTTTGCATCTCATGCTTTCAGTTCTTTTGGGTATATGCCCAAAAGTTGAGTTTCTGGATCATGTGGTAATTCATGTTTACTTTTTTTGAGGAACTGACATAATGTTTTTCATGCTGGTTGCACCATTTTACATCCCGACCAGCAATGCACAAGCATTCCAGTTGCTCCACATCCTCAGGTTCTGTTTGGTTTGGTTTTGTTTACAGTAGCCATCCTGATGGGTGTGAAGTTCATTCTTAATATTTTAAGAAAAATATGAATAGATCATATAATAAAAAAGATATAACTCCCGGAAACTACTGATCATATTATTTTCTCTATCGCTTTGCCTTGGTCTGTTATGTTTGGAATCATGCAATATGTAGGCTTTTCAGATTGGCCTCTCTTACGTAGTTTCTGTCATGTCTTTTTGTGCCTTGTGAGCTCCTTTCTTTTTATCACTGAATAGTGTTCCATTGTATAGATATTTATTGATTCCCCTACTGAAGGACATTCTTGCTTACTCCATTTTTTGAAAAGTAGGAATAAAGCAGCTGTAAACATTTGCGTAAAGGTTTTTGTGTAGATGTAAGTTTTCAGTTCATTTGGTGAATACCTTGGGACACAAGTAGTGGATCATATGGTGAGCCTGTGTTTAGCTTTGTAAGAAAGTGCTTGTCTCCCAAAGTGGCTGCACCATTTTGTGTTCCCACCAGTAATGAATGAGAGTTCTTGTTTCTCTACATCTTTGTCAGCATTTGGTGTTGTCAGTGTTTTGGATTGTAGCCATTCTAATAGGTGTGAATTAATAGCTCATTGTTGTTTTAATTTGCATTTCCCTGATGACATATGATGTTGAGCACCTTTTTATATGCTTATTTGCCATCTGTATAACTTCTTGCGTGAGATTCTTTTCAGGTATTTTATCCACTTTTTAATTGGGTTGTTTGTTTTCATATTTTGTTGAGTTTTAAGAGTTCTTGCCCAGCTGGCATGGCTCAAAGGTTGAGCATCAACCTATGATCCAGGAGATCATAGTTCAATTGCCATCAGGATACATGCCCAGTTTTCAGGCTCGATCCCCAGGGCGGGGCGTGCAGGAGGCAGCCGATCAGTGATTCCCTCATCATTGATGTTTCTATCTCTCTCTCTCCCTCTCCCTTCCTCTCTCTGAAATAAAAAAAAAATTAAAATAAGAAAAAAATAGTTCTTTATATATTTTGGATATGAGTTCTTTATCAGGTATATATTCCACAGTCATTTTCTCCAAGACTGTGGCTTGTCTTTTCACTCTTTTAACAGTGTCTTTTGCAGAGCAGAAGTTTTTAACTTTAATGAAGTGTAACTTATCATATTTTCCTTTCACGGACTGTGATTTTTGTGTTGCACATAAAAAGTCACCCTAAAATCCGATGTCACCTAGATTTTTTCCTGCGCTGTCTTCTAGAAGTTGTAGTTTTGTGTTTACATTTAGATTTGTCCTCCAGTTTGAATTTATTTTTGTGAAATGTATAAAATTTATGTCTTGATTTTTTCCCATAGATATCTTTTCATTCTAGAGCCAGTTGTTGAAAAGACCATTCTTCCCGTTTGATTTGCCTTTGCTCCTTTTGCAAATATCACTTCGCTATCTTTGTGTGGGCTTATTTCTGGTCCCTCTTCTACTCTGTTCCATTGAGCTATTTGCCTCGTCTTTCTCCAAATAATATTTAATTCCCGCAGTTTCATACTCAGTCTTGAAGTTGGTAGTGTCAGTCCTCCAACTTTGTTTTCCTTCGATATCGCATTGGCTATTCTGGTTCTTTCACCATTCCATATAAACTTCAGAAACACTTTGTTGATATCCACAAGATAACTTGCTAGAATTTGTATTGGGATTGTGCTGAATCTATAGATCAAGTTGAAAAGAACAGACATCTTTAACAATTTTAAGTCTTCCCAACAATAAACATGGATTGTATCTCCATTTATCTAGGTCTTCTTTGATTTCCTTCATTCAGATTTTGTAGTTTTTCTCATGTCCCTCTTGTACATTTTTTATTAGATTTTTACCTAAGTATTTCGTTATTTTGGTGTAAATGTAAATGGTGTTGTTTTTTTTATTTCAAATTTCAGTTTTTGTTTCTGGCATATAGGAAAGCAATTGACTTTTGTATATTAACATTGTATCCTATAAATTGCCATAATCACTATAAATTCCAGGAGTTTTTTTGTTGATTTGTTTTTGGATTTCTTGAGTAGGTAATAATGTCATGGTTTTATTTATTTCTTCTCAGTTTTTTATTTCATTTTCTTGTCTTATTACTTTAGCTAGGACTTCCTATATGATGTTGAATAATAGTGTTAAGATGGAGCATCCTTACCTTGCTCCCAATCTTAGGGGAAAGCATCTAGTCCCTGATCCTAAGTATGACGTTAGCTATAGGCGTTTTGTTGACATTCTTTATCGAGTCAAGGAAATTCCCCTCTACTCCTTGTTTGCTGTGAGTTTTTATCATGAATGGGTGCTGGATTTTGTCAAATGCTTTTTCTGAATCTATTGATATGATTATGTGATTTTTCTTCTCTAGCCTGTTGATATGGTGGATTATATTAATTGATTTTTTTTTTTAATTGATTTGAGAGAAAGAGAGAGAGACATTGATCTGTTATTCTACTTATTTATTCATTCATTGGTTGCTTCTTGTAAGTGCCCTGACTGGGGATCAAGCCCATAACCTTCATTTATCTAGACAATGCTCTAACCAACTGAGCTACCTGACCAGGGTCACATTCATTGATTTTCAAATATTGAACCAGCCTTACATACTTGGAATAAATCCCAAGTATTATACACCACTTGGCTGTGGTGTATAATTCTTTTTTTATATTGTTGGCTTTGGTTTGCCAATATTTTGTTGAGGATTTTTGCATCTGTGTTGATGAGAGATAATTGGTCTTTATTTTTCCCTTCTCATAATGTTTTTGTCTGTTTTGGTATTAGGGAAATGCTGGCCTCATAGAAGAGTTAGGAAGTATTCTCTTCGCTTCTATCTTCTGGAAGAGATTATAGAGAATTGGTATTTCTTCCTTAAGTGTTTGGTAGAAATCATCAGTGAACCATCTGTGCCTTGTGCTTTCTCTTTTGACATGTTATTAATTGTTGTTTCAATTTCTTTAAGAGATATAGACTTATTCAAATAACCAATTCTTATTATATGAGTTTTGATAGATAGTATCTTTCAAGGAATTGGTCTGTTTCATTTAGGTTATCAAATTTGTGGTCATAGAGTTGTTCATAATATTCCTTTATTATCCTTTTAATGTCTATGGAATCAGTAGTGATGACTCCTCTTTCATTTCAATTTTTTTTTTTAATATATCTTTATTGATTTCAGAGAGAGGAAAGGAGAGGGAGAGAGACAGAAACATCAATGATGAGAGAGTCATTGATCGAGCCCACAACCCGGGCATGTGCCCTGACCGGGAATTGAACCCCAATCGCCTGGATCCTAGGTCAACCACTGAACCACGCCCGGCTGGGCTCATTTCAA